GGTTTAATGACGAAGCTGTACAAAGCAGACACCCGATGGCTTATCTACCTTTCGGCGACGGACCAAGGAATTGTATTGGTAAATCAAAATAAATTTAGATATCGTATATTTTCCTTTTATTTCATGCTAAAAAATATTTTTAATCTGCGAAAACTCAGAGACGCAAAAACTTTGATCTATTTTATATCATTTTTTATTTCAGGGGCTCGCTTCGCTGTTCATCAGACTAAAGTTGGACTTGTAAAGATACTACGAAATTACAAAATGGAAACTTGCGAGAAAACTCCAATACCTTACATAAACAATCCTAAAGCAATTCTATTAGCACCTATAAGTGGACTATACTTGAAAATAGTTAAAATTAATCGAACTTAATTTAAGCTTTTTTATGACTCTCTACAAAAGGGATAATAAAAAATGCAAAATGTTTGTTAATTGCAACAATAATAGAAGTTATTTTCTTCTGATAATTATAATTCTTTGATATTACTTCGCATAAATATCTCATATTAATTGATTAATATTATAGTTAAATTGTTTAATTTTAAGTTTATGCTGTTATGTATGTACACATCTTAATAATTATTTATCTCTTAAGAGATTGTTTTCTTCTTTATTTTTTTAAGTAAACATATTGTTATATCAGATATTGAAACTATAAATACATAATTAAAATAATTGGAAATTGAATGAAAATATTTAATTGGCATATATGCTGATCAAAAGTCTACAATTATATGTTCAATATTGTATAATCTCTTATCAATAAAAAATTGGTTTAAATATGCCAATATAGCACAGAATTGATCACGCGTTGCAATTGACCACGTTGCGATTACCCACGCGTTGCAATTGGCCACGTTGCATTTGCCCACGTCGCGTATGTATATTGAAATATATAAAATTTTTTTAAATAAATTGGAAATAAAAAAGGTGTCGTGAATAAAAACTTTTTTAGAATGCACAAATGTTATAAAATGTTGCAAAAGAGTTGTTTTTTCAAAAATTATTA